TCATGGTGCCTAATGCTGGGCGCCTCTGAATTGCTTGTTTCTTTTTCTCCTTTCTTGACCACCACACGTTTTCTGCTCTTCGTTGTCCCAGGCTGAGAGTGCCACTGGTGCAATCTCCGGCTCAACCGCAACCATCCGCCCCCTGCGTTCAAGCGATTCCGTCTCCTAGCCTCCCTGCAGCAGCCTATGGCGCGATTACAGGCATGACCACCACCACCGCCCAGCTATTTATTTTGCTATTTTTAGTAGACGTCGCGGCTTTCCACACATGTTCGGCCAGGCTGGTCTCTGAACTCCTGACCTCAGGCTATCTGCCACCATCCGGCCTCCCACAAACTTGGCCCCTGGGATTCCACAGGTGTGAGTCACCGGTGCCTGGCCGCGGAATCTGCTGTTCTGTCTCCAGAACTCTCAACAATAACAGTTGTCATTCAAAATCTTTTGTTTACTATCAGCTACAGCTTTCGTCTCGAGGAAAGGGGCCTTTGACTTTCCCAACAAATTCTCAAGGATCCAACACTCAAAGACCCCTGCTCTAGGGAGTTTTCAAGGAAAACCAGAATTCGGCTTCGGACAGGCACTGGTTTGAAGTATAATTGGCAATTAAAGGATGGACTAAGGGCTGAGTGCGAAGGTTCATGCCTATAATCCCAGCACCTTGGGAGGCCGAGGCATGTGGATCGCCTGAGGTCAGGAGTTCGAGACCAGCCTAGCCAACATGGTGAAACCCTGTCTCCACTAAAAATACAAAAATAAGCTGGGCATGGTGGCAGGCGCCTGTAGTCCCAGCTACTTGGGAAGCTGAGGCAAGAGAATAACTTGAATCCGGGAGATAGAGGTTGCAGTGAGCCAAGACCTCACCATTGCACTCCAGCCTGGGCAACCAGAGCAAAACTCCATCTCAAAAAAAAGAAAAGATGGACTAAGAAAACATTTTGATTTTAAGTCACGCAGGAGCCATGGCCATTGCTACCACCATCATAAAGACACGCATTATGCTTACTGAGTAAATGTTCCATAATTCTGGGGTCCAACTATTGCAGACACAGCAATAATCACAGCTGGGATCCCGTAGCCTACAGGGTACATGAACCTCTTCTTGAATCTGCCCATGCTGGTGTAGTTGGCCACCCTGAGATTCCTGACGGTGAGGAAGAGGTGCAGCCCTTCCAGGAGCATCCAGGTGAAGCAAGCCAGGTAGAGGAAGTGCAGCAGCCCTGCAATGACGGAGCACAGCACCTGAAGGGAACAGAAGAGTCAGGGGTGTACAGCAGATGTGGTCTGTACCTGATTATATGCTCAGCACGTAGCATTTCCTGGATGCTGCCTGGAATTTCTATTTGAGCACCTATAACATTTTGCCTGGGGGCTAAACATTTTCTGAGGACTTCTGCTACTTATTGAAGTCTGGGAGGCCGAGGCAGAAAGATCACCTGAGGTCTGGAGTTCAAGACCAGCCTGGCCAACATGGTGAAACCCTGTCTCCACTAAAAAATACAAAAATTAGCCGGGGGTGGTGGCATACACCTGTAATCCAAGCCACGTAGCATTTCCTGGATGCTGCCTGGAATTTCTATTTGAGCATCTATAACATTTTGCCTGGGGGCTAAACATTTTCTGAGGACTTCTGCTACTTATTGAAGTCTGTTTACATCATGCAGAGAGCAGGGTAGAAACCCAAGGAATACATGTCGTGGGAACAGCCCCCAAATGTATAATAAACAAAAATTGGTAGAACCCACTAATATCTAAGACATGTTCTCTACACTGCCCCCTGGGGATCCTCGGTGGAACTGAGCTCCAAATGTCCATAGTGGAAACT